AAAAAAAAAGTTTTAAATTTGCAACTGTCCAACATGTTGTATGTAAGTTAGATTTTTGTTTTGTTTTTCAAGACAAGGTTTCTCTGTGTAGCCAGGATGGCCTTGAACTAAGAGATTCACCTGCCTCTGCCTCCCAAGTGCTGGGACTAAAGGCGGGTGCCACCACCGCCCAGCAAGTTAGATTTTTGTTAAAACTAGATTGCTTTTCACTGGGCAGTGGTGACACCCACCTTTAATCCCAGCACTCTGGAGGCAGAAACAGATGGGTTTCTGTGAGTTGGAGGCCAGCCTGGTCTACAGAGTAAGTTCCAGGACAGCCAGAACTACACAGAGAAACCCTGTCACTAAACCCTACCCCCAAAAAGACTAGATTATTTTTCTTGGAGTAAGCAATTTCCTTTCAAAGCCATGCTTACTAAACTTAAGTCTCAACTGGAAAACTATACAGGATAGGCTAGTTAGCATAAATACCAACTTGACACAATACAGAATCACCTTGGATGAGAGTCTTAATGAGGAATTATCTAGATCAGGTTGACCTATAGCATGTCTATGAGAGATTATCTCAATTGTTAATTGATGTAGAGGAAGACCTAGCTTATTGTGGGCAGCACCATTCCCTAGGCAGGGGGTCCTGAACTGAAGAAGGCAGGAGAAAGCTAGCAGGCAAGCCAGGATGTGTGTCTTCTCCCATTGCTTTTGACTGTGGATGTGATGGTACAAGCTGCTTGACTTGAATGTACCTGAAATGACAGATTATAACTTAGAGTCGTAAGCCAAATAAACCCTTTCCTAACCCCACATTGCTTTTTTGTCAGAGTATTTGTCACAGCAACAGAAGGAGAATTAGGGCATGAGACATTGTTGATAGTGTCTGCCATGATCTCAGCCATCCCACGGACCACTGTTGCTCAAGAATTCCCCACTGTCCTTTAGCCCACCTGTCCTGAGGACCTAAGCATGGATGGTAGGTTGGGCAAAGAAATAAATGTTGAGTGTCGTAGAATAGTGTGATTACATCAATGTAGCCATATCTACATGTATCTTACCTACAATATCCAACGGTAATTATCTATCTACTTGGCAGTGAAAATGGAAAGGGAAACAGCAACCAGATGGAAAAGCCGCATTGCCTCCCCCACATCACTTCAGACCTTGCCCGGCTTCCCTCACCCTGTATGGCACTCCTCGGATCCAATCGCATCTCCAATTCACACCCTTCTACTTGGCTGGGTCTCTGGGAATGCATATTGATGCACCACCAGTCCAGCCATTCAATACAATTCTGTCAGTTCACTGGGCGTTTAGTCAACACAACGCCAGGCATCGGACTCAGCTATTTTCTTTGAAATTAACCAGATTTTTTTTTCTGCTGGAGATATCGAGTCAACATGGTGTGTGTGGGCGCAGCGTGATCTGCTGCTGTAATGAAAGCTGCCCCTGTGCTCTGTCTGGCTACTTGGCCTCAGCTCCCTTTGGGTTTCCCTGGGACCTTACTACTCAGCCTCCACTCTTCATACTCCATCTCTGTTCCCGTCACTGAGGATTCCTTTATTCTTGATTTGGAACCTACAGCTTGGGAGACTGCACTTTGTAAGGCATCCATCCGCCCACCTCCTCATCCGTTTATGGAGCACTTCCCACATTCAGAGCCTTTAAAACTTAAGGATTATGATCTAGAACCTGTGCCAGGGAGCAGTAGGGTCATCCCTTCACATTCACAGAGTCTGTATCTATAGATTCAACCAAGCTGATGGGGACTGAGGAAAACTGCAGCCATACTAACTGTGCACAAGTCTGAACAATATGAAGAGTACAGTCTAATAGCTGTTTATGTCATATTAGGTGCACCAAATATGACTAGTGTTAGTAGAGCTAGGTCAGTACTCAGTGGTAGATTGCTTACCTAAAATGTGCAAGGCCCTGGGTTCTGCCTTTTTATCCTCTACAGTAGGAAAGGGTGCTGGGGTGTGGTTGTGAGACCGGAGAGATGAGGTTTTAGTGGCGGCTTTGCAGATACTTTGCAGGTGACTAAGTGAGAAACCTGAGGGTAAATAGGCGTTCACCCAAAGGGTAAAGCATAGAAACTGTTGAGGGAGGGGAGGGCTGGAGACAAGGCGCTGGCATGTGAAGGAACAAGGCCGGGGGTGATAGGGAGAGGGGCCTGCAGCATGCATCCCGCACTGGGGAACCTGCTGATGGTGTTCACAGAGAGAGAAGACAGACAGAGGCAGACAAGCCTGGAAAGTAAGCTCCGGCCAAGCTGGGTAGGCTCTCCTGGGCCCTAGAAGCTTGACCACACCCTGTCTGAAGAAGGTCCAGGTGGTTTGTTCCATCTGACCAACCAGATCTACCTACTGGGAATTGGGGCTGTCCTTAATACTGACTTTTAATCCTGGCCTTGTTCAAGCTGCTGTGACCAAAATACCATAAACTGGGTAATTATAATCCGTAAAGGTTGTTTCTTGCAGTTCTCAAAGCTGAGATATTCAAGAACAAGTTGTCAGTGAATTGGATGTCTGGTGGAGGACTTATCTTCTCATAGATGGCACCCCACTCTGTCCTCCTATGGTGGAAGAGGGAAGGCAGCTCTCTTTTAAATAAGCTAATATCATTCGCTAGGGCTCCACCCTCATGGTTTATTCCCCTCCCAAAAGCCCTACCTCCTAATGCCTTGAAGCAAAGCAGGGATTAGCTTTCAACATGAGAATTTGGGGGAATGGAAACACTTAGACAGTGCTGGGTCCTAACTACACTGTCCCCCTGGACCATAAACAACGTATCCTCCAATAGTGTTGGTGAGTCCACAAAGAAGTATTTCCTTAATCATTTTAGCGTATTTTGTTATGTTTTTCAATATTCTAAAATATAAAACATGATCAAGAGGACTTTGCTGAGACCAGTCCATAGTGGCACACACCTTTAATCCCAGCACTCAGGGGGCAGAGGCGGCTAATCTCTGTGAGTTCAAAGCTAGCCTGCTCTACATAGTGAGTTCCATGCCAGCCAGTGTTGCAGTGAGACCCTGTCTCAAAATAGAAAGAATCAAGTAAAATAAAAATAAAAGAGGACTTTTCTGTTGATCCCCCAAATTCAACAGTGCTCCCTCTAGTCGGGCCCCGATATCCAGTAGAAAAGAGGACTCTGGCTCCCCAAAGCACAGCCTTACATCTTTTAATTTTGTTTTTGAAAACAGGGTCTTGTGGAGCCTAGGCTAACCTTGAACCTGTTATGTAGCCACGGTGACCTTTATACCCCTGATCTTCCTATCTCCACCTCCCAAGTCTAGGACTACAGAGATGAGTTACCAAGTCCTATTTATAATACTATTAATTGTTTGATAGACAATTTGGGAGATGTCATCTTGGTGACAGTATTTCAACTTCTCTGAGAACAATGCTCTCTCCTCTTATCAGGACCTCTGACCCAAGCTGGACCTGACCTAAGCTGAACAAGTTGGAGTCTGTCCCCTCGTAATTTAGAATTCCTTCATTCTTCCCTTCAGCAAAGGTGTACTGACAGCTGCCTTCAGGCATAGTTGTAGGAGCGAGGATTCGGTGGGCACAGTCTTTCTCCCAACCCACTGCCTCATTCTAGATTCTGGTGGACATCCATGCTTCCTTATCTACTACCTCTCTCTGCTTCTGCTGAGCTAAGTGGTGTCCATTCCTGCTACAAAACAATTCTTTCTAAGGCAAGTATACATGGTCATTCATGATAGAAAAATGCCTGGTTATCTTTCTTTGGACTTGAAAAGCTATTACCTGGAGCAAAGAGATGGCTCATCCATTAAGAGCACTGGCTGCTCTTGCAGAGGACCCAGGTTTGGTTCCCAGCACCCACCTTGTGGTTCACAACCATCTAAAACCCCAGTTCTAGGGGATCTGATGGCCTCTTCTGCCTTCTTGAGTACCAGGTACTCATGTGGTACACATATGTGCATTCAGTGGTACACATATGTGCATTCAGGCAAACACACATACACAGAAAATAAAAATATTTTTTGAAAGCTATTTCCCCCAGAAAAGTACCTGAGAAATCTCTCCAAAGTTTTAGCTAGGTAAATTTTCACTGACTGGAAGAAATGTTTATTTAATTTAATTATTTATTTAAGTTTTTCCAAGACAGGGTTTCTCTGTGTAACAGTCCTGGCTGACGTGGAACTTGCTTTGTAGACCAGGCTGGCCTTGAACTCACAGAAATCTGCCTGCTTCTGCCTCTCAAGTGTTGGGATTCAAGGCGAGCACCACCACCAAGCACAATGTTTATTTTCAAAGTTTAATCTGTATCATTCATGTTATGAAAGCATGAAGAACACCAAAGAGTAGTGTACCAATGCTTTCTGCTGACTCCAGATGACAAACCAACATTTCAGCTTTTCATCTTACTAATTACATGATACCCTTTACTCAGTACACATTTGTGTATGTTTGTGTACACACACACACACACACACACACACACACACACACACACACACACGCACATGCACACAGCAAGAGAGAGAGCCTTTACTAGACATCTCATATAACAGAAAAGTTGAGCAATTGAAGCATAAAACTTACAAGACAAACCTGAATTTAATTAGCCTGTCCTAAGCCTGACACAGAGGCTCATAGCTGTAATTCTAGTACTTGGAAGAAGGAGAGAAGAGGATCAGGAGTTCAAAGTCATCTTTAGCTACATGAGTTCAAGGGTACTCTGGCCTACATGAGACCCTGCATTTAAAAGACAACAAAATGGTGTGTCCCTTGGTGATCTTGGCAAATTCTAAATTTGTAAGCAGGAACACTGCATACAATTATTGTGAGAAAGTGAGAACAGTGTCCTGTAGATATTTTCTCAAAATGAGATATAGCATTGCATCTTGGAAGAAAGCACATTAAAATCTAGGACATAAACAACTCAGAAGCTTCAGGAAGTCCCTGAAACTGACCTCTCTGTGCCCAAGCCTATGTACTGCCAGACTCTTTGTCTCTCACTGAACCTGCAGGTCGCTGATCGGGCTAGACTGGATGGCCAGTGACGCCCAAAGGACCTGCCCAGCACTGAGATAATACAGGTACACCATAGCTGAGGCTACCTTTTTTATTTTTCACAGGGGTGCTGGGAATCAAGCTCAGGTTGTCATGCTTGCACGGCAAGTTTTGTGTAACTGACATAAAAATGACCACTAACTTAGTGGCTTACAGGAATAGATAATTAATCTCATAGTTCTGAAGTCTAGATGTGTGGTGGTATTGTGTTCCCCAAATTATTGTGTCCTCTTATACTTTTCTGTGGTGTGAGAGCAGAGAAGCGCCTCTATATTTATGGTATAGGCGGTTGTCACTCACGCCTTTAACTCTAGCATTCCAGAGGCAGAAATCCATCTGTTCAAGGATACAGCCAAGCATGGTGACTCACGCCTTTAATCCCAGAAAGCGAACCTTTAATCCCCAGGAGTGATGGTAGAAAGCAGAAAGGTATATAAGGCGTGAGGATCAGAAACTAGAAGCATTTGGCTGGTTAAGCTTTTAGGTTTTGAGCAGCACAGTTCAGCTGAGAGCCATTTGGATATGAGGACTCAGAGGCTTCCAGTCTGAGGAAACAAGATCAGCTGAGAAGTTGGCCAGGTGAGGTTAGCTGTGGCTTGTTCTGGTTCTCTGATCTTCCAGTTCACCCCAATACTTGGCTCCAGGTTTGTTTTTATTAATAAGAACTTTTTAGATTCGTGCTACATAGATGCCCAAATCCAATTTCACGGGTCTGAAATTAAAGTGTCAAGCAGGCCACATTCACCCTAGAGGCTCTCGGGGAATTCACTCTTCACTATTGTCAGCTCTGATGGCTACTGTGTTCCCTGGCTTGTAACTGCACTGTTAAAGTTTCTGTCTCCATGGTCACAGAATCTTCTCTGCATAGCAAATGTTCCTCCACTTTCCTCTTCTAATGATGGAGATCTGATTGAACTTGAAGCTCCCCAGCATAAGGCCGATAGCTTTCCTCGTCTGCAAAGATCCCTTTTTGCATACAAAGAAACTTTTATAGGTTCCAGGGATTAGAATGTGGGCATTTGGGGGGAAACTGTTATTAGCCTGTCATGTCTACCTTCTGGTCATATTGTGAAGGATGAATGACATGTTCCAGTATCTCATAGTGGACGGAACATGGGAAGCATTCTAGATACATCCAGTGTTACCAAGCAGATCTTGTCAAGTGCAAAGTGACCTTGAAGGAAACTAGTGCAGAGGTAGAGAAGACCTTCACCAGCTGTGTATTGAACATTGAAACTGCTCTATCTTGGAAGACTTAGCATGGCATATCAAAAACACCTCTACAGGCTGTAATTCCTTATTCCTGATAAAGAAATTGGAGGATATTGGAAAATGTCTAGAAGTTGATGCCTGTGGTTTCTACTACACCACCACCGGTAATGGACTCTCACTGGGGCTCCTCTTGGATTTCCTGTTGTTGTCCTGTGTCATGGAGATCCTGCTGTTTTGGATCTGTAAGTTCGTCCCCTTCACATGCTCCAACAGTTCATAGATGAGGTGGATGTTGGGGTGGGCCAACTCATAGCCCTGCTTCTGGCCTGGTAGGTGGGTTGGTCAGCTCACTAGCTTTCCCTCATCATCCCTACCAGAGATCTCCAGCACTGCCTCAGCTAGCTCACCCAGAGTGGGAGTGGGATGGGCCATGCTCCTGCTCTCAGGCCCTCAGATCCAAGTTCCCCTCACTCATATCTCTACTGTTTTGCCCAGGCAAGATGCAGGGCCCTCTCTCCCAATTGCGGTAGGGGGCACACAAGGGAGGACAGGGTACCCTTTCCTGCTTTCATACCCTCAGGACTGGCTCACCTGCGACCCCAACAACAGGGTCAGCTCTAGTGTGCTGTGCCGAGGGGTGCAGGGCCCGTGGTGGCATCTGGGCCAGAGCTGCTGCCGAAGGCCATGTCTGGGTCTGTGGTCTTGCTGCAGCTAGGATCTGTGTTGATGTCTTTGGCCCGTGTTAGCATGGGGATCATTGGAATCTTGCTGTGCTGAGCTGGCCCGGCCCTTCACTGGCCTTGGGATGGCTGGTCCTGCCCCTCTCTAGATATTGCAACAGGCAAGCTGGTCCTACCCCTCAGGGGAAGCTTGCCTTTGCACTCGCGAAAAATGGCCCCACCCCTCACCATAGGCGTGCACCTCACCTGGGAAGCACACTAGAGCTGACCCTGTGGTTGGGGACCCAGGTGAGTTGACCCTGAGGGCATGAGAGCAGGAGAGATCACTCCGCTCCCCCCCGCCTCGCGTGCACCATAGTGGCATGGGTGAGGGGAAGATGCCTCCTCTCACCCATTACCACCTGTGGCTGGTGAGAGAGCTGGCCCTGGGGTCATAAGAGTAGGAGAGCTAGACCTGACCCTCACCAGCTGCAGCGCACGAGAAAGCAGCCTCTGCTTCCCATCTGGACAGCACACTAGAGCTAAGCCTGTTGTCTGGGAAGCAGTTGAACCCCAGAGAACAGAGCGAACTGTCCAAGACAAAGCTGAATGAGAACGGGGAACCCTAGCCCTTGCTATCCACTGATAAAGCAGGGGTGAGAACGGAGGAAGGTGACCTGGGCAAGGGCAAGAGGTCTTCTGCACATCTAACCTGGAAAGTCTGTAGGAGGGAGGCAGGAAGTGTGCAATATGGAAAGCCAAAATCCCAAGTCAAAACCCTGTTTTCTCTAAGTGGGTTAATGGGAGCTGCTGGGAGTGTGGTTCTGTGATAGAGTACTTACCTAGTCTTTGCAGGGCCCTGATTTCAGAGGAGGTGAGGAGGAGGAGGAAGGAGAAAGCAGGCAGGCAGATAGACAGACTGCCTGGATAGGGTGAGGGGTCTATTAGTAAAGCACTTGCCCAAGCCCGAGGACCTGAGTCTCACCTCCAAGACCCATATAAAGACTACATGTCATGGCACACATGTGCCATCTCAGTGCTGGGAAGGTGGAGACAGGCAGAGCCCTAGGCTCATTGGCCAGCCAGCCTAGGCTAATTGGTGAGTTCCAGGCCAACTGAGAGACCCTGTCTCAAAAAGAAATACATAAACAAAAAGATAGATGGCCCCTGAAGATGGACACCTGAGGTTGATCTGTGGCCTCTACGTGTATGTATGCACATACATGTAACACACAGAGGTAAAGGAACTTGCCAAACACAAGTCTGATGACCTGAGTTAGATTCCTGGAGCCTTCCCAGGTAAAGGCGGAAGGAGAGAACGAACTCCTGAAAGTTGTCCTTTGACCTCCACAGGTTCACCACGTTGTGTGCCCCACCCCCACCCCACTTACCCACTCTCTCGTTGACATGCTGTACTTATTCTAAAAACTCTCATGCATGTTATTAGACATATTTGACTCCTGTTCAGTGTGGTCCTTGATTCCTGATTTGCCTGGGTGTGTTTGGTCTTCAGATTTCTTGAAGAACTACCTTCTCAGGGGAAGAGTTGAATGGTTACATCACAAAGAAATCTCTCACCTGCTCACACACCCGCCTAGGTGACAGTGTGATTTAGAAAGAGAGACAAGGAAAAGCATCATAAACTTCTTCACTGTATCACATAAAAACAGTGTGAGGAAGAAGGCATGGATGGGACACGGGACAGGCATCAAACCTCAGTTTGCTGTTTGGCTGGCACATAATTTATCTTCCTTCCTCCTCCCCCCCCTTTATTTTTATTTCTTCTTTGAGTGTGTGTGTGTGTGTGTGTGTGTGTGTGTGTGTGTGTGTGTGTGCTCTACTACTAAGCTACACCTCTATCCTTGTTGCTGTTACTAACATTAAGCATCATCTAAAATTATGCTGTGAGAAATAGTCTTGTTGCGATGTTAGTATTCACATGACAGTCACAAAATACAGACTACAGTAGGGCCTAGGGGGGTGGCTCCAGAGATAGGTGCTTGCTGCTCAAGCATAAAGACCTGAATTTGAACCCCAGAACCTGTTTCCAAAAAGCCAGGCAAGGTGGCACATGCTTGTAAAGCCAGCTCTGGGGAGTCAGAGACAGCCAGATCCCTGGGGCTTGCTGGCCAGTCAGCCAGCCCGATCAATAAGCCGCAAGCAAACAAGGGACCTTGTCAAAACAAAGTAGACAGCTCGAGAGGAACAAACAACACTTGGACTGACCTCTGTCATCCACATGCACACACATATGCAAATACACTCAACTACACAGTTATATGTACACACACACACACACACACACACACACACACACACACTCAACTCCCCCTACATATATACATTCATACACACAAAAAATTCTTGCTCTGTTATTACTAGCTGGGTAACTCTGAGCAAATTACTTTGCCACGCTGTAAAATGCCTATAATCCTAGGCCCTGGCAGAGTACTTCACACCTTTAATCCCAGCATGCAGGAGACAGAGGCAGGTAGAGCTCTGTGAGTTTGAGGCCAGACCGATCTATATAACAAATTTCAAGCCAACCAGAGTTACATGGTAAGACTCTGTCTCAAAAAATAAATAAATAAATAAAATAAAAATAAAAATAAACAACACACACAAAGATCAGGATTTTGAGGGCTGGTGAGTTAACTCAGCAGGTAAGAGCACTTGTTGCTTCTGCAGAGAACTTGGGTTCAGTTCCCAACATCCACATGATGGCTCACAACCCTCTCTACCTCCCGCCCCAGGGAATCTAATATCTTCTTCTGACTTCCATGGACACCAGGCACACAGATGGTACACATACTTATATACAAGCAAAACACTTGTGCACATACAATATTAAAATCAAATTAAATTGTAAAATACCTACCTACACTAAATAGTAAAACAAGACCTTGATCATATAAGAAATAATAATGTCTATACTGAAGGGTTGTGAAAAGTATAACGTAAGCTAGCAAATGCCAGGGTTTGCCTTTGATTGATAGCTGCTACTGCCATTATTGCTGTTATTGAGACTTGATTCTTCTTCTTTTGAAACATCTTCTGAAATGCTGCCCAGTGTAATAATTGAGACAATATCTGAAAATGAACAAGATGTCTTTTGACCTCATTTGCAGGCAAATCTGTCCTTTGGTCTGCCATAAGGAACTGCCATATGTTCCTCAGGCCCTATTTTGAGCATGTACCTTTTTTTTTTTTTTTCAACAAAACTAAATTTTAGTGTCAAGTCAGTCTTCACTCTTCCTCAACAGAAATCTCTCAGGCACCAGCCCCCTGGAAGCTGACTGTCTTTAATCCAAGGGTGATATTTCTGTGCCTGGTTAACTATGCTCTAGCTTTCAACATGAGCCAATTGGCTTTAATCACAGGATGTTATTGAAAAAGATTGGGCAGATTATGGGTAGTAAGAGAGATAATTGCCAAGGAGAAACAAGGAAAAAATAAATGAATCTTCCATCTCAGGGAGAAATAAATGGCCTTATTATGGGGTCAGCTGTGATGATCCTAAAACTCCCTGTCCAGGAGAAAATGCATAATGGTAGTTTGGGAGCTGAAGAATTTGGCAGCGACAAATGCGTGGATCAAAACAGCTTTTAAGGGACAACCTCAGGGGATTGCTTTTCTATAAAAGGAATGGGATGTTTCTCTTTATGCTACTGAAAATGCAGAATCGGAGCTGACTGCAGACACAGTTTGCTCATCCATCATTCTTTGAAAAGGACAAGATCGCTGTTATGTTCCGCTATATTAAGACAATAGACTCCCCACCCCCCAAAAAAGTCACCGAGTTTTCTGAATCCCATTTGTGCAAAGTCTTGGGAAGCAAGGAAAAAAAATGCTTGATGTACAGCCCTAAGTAGAGTATCTATGACACTCCCTCTAAGACTCGAGAAATATCATGGGAGGGGGTACAAAGATGGAAGGACCAGAGGATGGGGAGGAGAGCTGTGAAACTGTCTTCTGGACATGACATGGCTGTTCATGAACTCACTGCATCAGTGGCTGCCTGCTGCACCAGACCTGGCCATTAACATTACATCATTAACATCGCACCTTGAATCCCAGCACTCATGAGACATCTGGGGGATCTCTATGAGCTCTAAGCCAGCCTGGTCTATAGAGTGGGTTCCAGGCCAGCCAGAACTACGTAGTGACACCCTGTCTCAAAATAACAAAGAAATAAGCAAAACAAAAACTTGTCCAAAATGAGATTTTCTGGGACAACTCTATAATATTCAATTAAAAAGAAATCTTTCAATCTCAGCTCCATTCTCCTTTCTACCAAATATACTAAAGCCAGTGGTATAGAGCTGTGCCCCCAGGTGACATCTTGAAACCAGCTAGTGATGTGAGTCATTATAGGCCTCAGTTTTAGCAGAGGGCCCAAGGTCCACCTTGCCTCTTACAGCTAACCACAAATACCCAGTAAGCCATAGTGAAAAAAGACCCATGAATCTTTCCATCTCCACTGATGTTCGTTTTTTAAATTTATTTCATGAGCATTTATTAATTGTACACAGTAATGGGTTTTATTATACTATTTTCACTACAATTAATTTCTATCATGGTCACCCTCCATGACCCTTGACCCTCCTGGACCCCTTCCTATCTAGTCTCCTTTCTAGTTTCATGTTTTCTTTTGTTTTGCTCGTGACCTAATGAGTTTCATTAGAGTTGCTTACAGGAGAATGGATGAGGAGTTATTTCAAGAAACAGGGACAACTTATCAGGGACGATACCTCCGACAAAAATGTCTCTCCTTCTGCTAGCAGCCATTAACTATCTGTAGATCCTCAGAGAGGGCTGGACCCTCATGATTCCCTTCTCATTCCATCACAGAACGTTGATAGGCCCCCATCTTGTGTGCAGGTCTTGTGCAAATAACCAGAGCTACTTCCTATGAAAGTCCTTGGTTCTCACCTACTGATATTGATGGTCACCTCGATGGGATCTAGATCACCTAGGAGACAAAGCTCTGGGGAGGTCTGTGAGGGGTTTGAGACTGAATTCATTAGCAGGGAAGAACCACCTTAACTATAGACAGCAACCCTCCAGGTGCTGGGGCCGTGGACTGAATTAAAAAGGGGGAAATGAGCTGAGTGCCAGTATTCTCTCTCTGCTTCCTGCCTGGGGATGCATTGAGACCCGCTGTCTCTCATTCCTGCTGCCATGACTTCTCCTGCCTTGATGGACTGCACCCTGGGACTGTGAGCCAGAAGAAGCCCTTCCTTGATTAAGTGGCTTCTGTCATCTTTCATGTTTGTGTTTGGGCCAAATTTCCTAGTCCTTAGTGACCTCCTTTGAGAAACAGCATTGCTTTTTTAATTCGACTCCAACTCTACCTTTAAGTCTTTTGTTTAGTTTTGTTTAGTTTTGTTTAGTTTTGTTTAGTTTTGTTTTGTTTTGTTTTGTTTTGTTTTGTTTTGTTTTGTTGAGACAGGGTTTCTCTGTGTGTGGCCCTGGCTGTCCTGGAACTTGCTCTGTAGACCAGGCTGGTCTCGAACTCAGAGATCCATCTGTCTCTGCCTCCCGAGTGCTGGGATTAAAGGTTTTACCTTTAAGTCTTATTTTAGGAGTTAGAGAGGGATGAAGACATCTAGCTAATTACACAAAGGACACAAGGTAAAATGCACTGATGATGTGAGTCTTAGGCTCAGGTCAAACCTGTTATTCCAGGGCACTTCAATTGTAGGGTTGGGGTGGGGGGGAATGGCAAGAAAAAGCTTCCCCTGGCCACTTGGCTGATAGGAGAAGCTTGCCTTGGCCTTCCAGCACTGAGTTGAACTGAAGTCTATGTTGACTGAGCCGTGCTATGGGTGGGGAGAAGGAAGATACTTACCAATGGGATCATCAGCACTCAGACACAGCCTTCCCAAGTGGGGGTGCTCTCACCTACATCAGTCATGGCAGGATGCAGAGCTCTGCGTCCTCTGTAGGTAGACCTGTCTTAGGAATACGAGTGAGGCTCAGGATGGACTGCCCAAGCCAGATCTCTGAATCATAAGACATTGATGCAGAGACACAGGACTTTCTAGGGTTCTTCGTGTGGGAACACAGTGCTAGTGAGTAGGCCTAAGGGACACAAGGGACACCAGTGTCAGTAAAGGTATTCAGAAACCAGACAAGCCCTGAAGCGCGATCCTAATTAGTCTTAACAATGAAAATCCGGAGTCAGATGTCGAGGGTGAAAGCTCAAAGATCAGAGAAGCACAACCAGTAACTTCTTACCTCTACAAAATCTCAGACTAAATGGGAAGAGGGGGCCTGTCTCTATGAACCCTCACACTGAATGGGGGCAAGATCCTGTCTCCACCCACCTCATATTCCTGTCTCCACCTCCCTATTGCTGGGATCAAAGGTGTGAGTCTCCCATGTGCTGGGATCAAAGGTGTGCACCACTACTACCTGCCTCTGTTTCTCTTTTAGACTGGATCAATCTCGTGTAGCCCAGGGTGGCCTTGAACTTCCTGCTTCTTCCTCCCAAGTGCTGGCATTAAAGGT